GAGTAAAATCAATCTTCGACTTCGTACTGGAACGATCTTTTTTTCTTTTCAGTATTAAAAATAATATTTCTATGGTATTCTTATCAAGTTTTGTTTTTATCGAAGTGGGTTTTCCCATTTCAATCCCGTTTGTGAAAACAGTCATCAGTCGTTTCTTTGATTGATATTTCTTTGAAATTTTATTTTATAAAGCTTCAAGAATTATTCACATAAAATAGAATTTATTTTTAACGATACAAAACAAAATAATTGAATTGAAGGTGACAATTTTTCAATAAAAATTGTAATTTATCCTGGTGTCCCAAATTTGTTAAGTCACACAAAAATTAGTTGTTATTATTAATTTATATGCGACTACAGAGTCATATATTTGATATTTGTTCAAACGAGATAAACAGATGTTTGAGTAGTGGAGACTAGCATTTGACATTAGCTCTTTGGTTTTAATTTGACTGAACTCAAAAGACCGATGGAATGATTCATTTCAGAAATGATGATGATCCATTTACATTTTTATTTAAAAAAAAAACATAAGCTATGCGTAATAAATATAAATTACCAAGAACCTAGCCACAATGGTGATATTCCTGGTTCTGTTATTTTATTTTATCAAAAATAAATTATATCGTTACGAAGTTTCGCAATTTCGGTGTGTCCAGTGTTCACTCCAGTTAACAGTTGGGTTAGTTAAATCTTTTCAAATTGATTTAAAACTATCAAAACTGCTTAAATAGCTTTCATACGCATGAAATGATGGATCTTTTTTTTTTTTTTAAAACCCCTCCTTAAAATTAACCAAATATTCTTTGGTGTTTTATTATTGATTCTATGGAACAAACAAATTCGTTCTCTTTATTATTTTCTCTCAAAGATTCTTTCACTTGATTCAGTATCGGTTGCATGTTGTCTAAATCTCGTTCAAGTATTACACGGAAGTTGTTATATACTTGATTTGAAATTTCATCATTACCCTTTTTCCTGGAAGCAATCTAATGAAGTCAATTTTTCGTCCGATGTTCGCCACCTTCTGGTGGATCAAAGATTTAAACTCATTTTCATTGTAGTGTGTTAGGAACTAAGAAGAAGATGTTCGATTTTTAACACCAATACAAATATATATTCATTTCATTCAAATACGTGTTACAAACCAGCTGAATAGCTCCATTCCTTGAGTTATGATGAAGTGTCAGAAATTCATCTTGACTAAAATATTCCTTTGCTTTAAGTGTCTTTAACATTGAATCGGTGTACAACCGCAAGCATTGGTTATATGCTCCCATAATTTCACTAAGATCACGGTGCAAATGATCCAGAACTCTTTCTATCTTGTCACGGCCGCCTTTTGATATTTCGTTATCGCCCATTTTTTTGGAATCAAACTGTGGAGAAAGTTTCATGATCATAATGAAAATTTTAAATAATGCACTTGGAATGAACATATGAGAGCTTGTATACATGTATACCTCTTGCAAAGCAGACTGTTTTGATGTCTGAAATACACTGTTCAGTTGAATATAGTTTAGTTCAGAATTGGAATTTTGTATTTCTTGACGAATCTTTCTCTTGACTGATCCATTTATTTCATCGACTATTCCTTCATTGTGCAAATAAGCTTTTTCCTATAATTAATTTAAAAAAGAGTTTGTTCAAAAAAGGCTTCACTATGTAGTTGGTTCCATAATATCATGCTTGTAAAAAAAATATCGAACTTACAATAAATGCTTTGTATTTTCTTTCGTTTTGGTCTTTAAAACTAAGAAATCGCTGTTCTGTACCATTTTCCACTTTGTGTTGGAAAGAAGCTCTGAGTTCGTCTCCACCAAGTTTTGGCTTTTCTATGAACTGCATTAAATGAGATTTGTGTGAAAAAAAGGTAATGAACAATGTGAAAGTCATGAATTCAAAATTTGAATTTCAAACCTTTGCCACAGCTTCGTTCTTTGTTCTTTCGTGTAACTTAACGAGTTCATCTTCTTTCAAATACGGTTCTATGTCACCAATTAAATTATTCATTGCGTCGCTATAATATTGCAAAGAATCATCACACAATATGGTGTTACTCGCTACGGCTGTTGCCTGTTTCCATCGAATTTGATGTAAATATAAAAAATGAGAATTAAATTGTTTTCAATAAAATCTCAAACACTTCAATCTTACCATCAAAATCGTCTGTGGCTGAGTTAAGTTGCCTCTGTTGAACATATCTGTGTAGGCTTGCAGGTATTGCATCAGATCACGAGCTCGAACTTTCTGCCCATTAATTCTCTTTATGATGAGATTTTCCGGAGCGAAAAGCATCAGCACCAACTCTTTTAAATACTTGACGAAATCTGGTGAGATTTGCTGCAAATTGCCCGTGAAATTTTGCCCATATGCTACAATTGGACCTGGATATGGCATTAAGAATGCGCCAATTTTCTCAAAATTCACCGCCATTTGCCTTCTCAATTCTCTCATTTCGGTTGTCTGTTGATCGTTTCCATTGAGAATTTCATCGATTATATTTTGTGCATCACCATAGGGCGTTTCATATGGAAAAGCCCAATCTCGAACAATGAACAACAACTTTTGGAAGGATTTTTCGTGTGTTTGCTGTAAAGCGAGTCGCCCGTATTCAGTGAACAATTGCAGGTGTTGCAAATGATCCTCTCCAATGTTTTGCATCAAATTGTAGCACTGCACTGACGACGACATAATGCTCAAAGCAAAGATCGCCGTACAATCGTGTAAACTGCTTTGATCATCGAAAATGCCCTGCGTGTCAAGCAAAATGATTGCAACTTTGTCACCGTTTGGAAAATCATGTGTAAAAATTTCCGACCACATCCAAATGCCCACGGTTTCACGCTTTCGACCTCCTCTCCATTTGAATCCAGACAATGCACTGCTGTTTGTGTTTTGTCCAAGCCAATCAGATACATTATGTTTTTTATACTACACGAAAGAAAAATTATTGGAAGTGAAACATTTACTGAAAATATTTTTTTGGAAAAATCCCAAATTGAAGAAAAATTGAATATGTAGATTGTACCTGCGCATCGAGATATTTAATGAAAAAATTTAGTAGGAAACTTTTTCCCTGTCGAAAAGCACCAGCGATTGAAACGACAACGATGTGTCGATCTTTTATATCGTCAGCTTCTAGAATAGGTTGAACTTCGTTCAATTGTATTTTGAGCGAATGATTGCTAAGATTGATGATTTGAATGGCATGCCCTGAGCTCGGCATTTCAGCCGAGATTTGAAGGCAAATTATTCCAATCAAATACAACGTGATGATCTTCATGGCTAAATTTTTTAGACTGAATACAAAGTTGAATATGACATTCATTTATAGTCCTATGCAATGCGCTAAGAGATTAAACATGAACTATGTCTAAAGGGTCAAATCACAATGCTTATAGCAAGGGAACCTTTATTTCGAAAAAAAAAAACAGAAAATGATAATGTTTCATGATTGTTTTTTCAATATCAAAAATGAAAGGAAAAAAATGTTCATGTTGATAGCAGCTGCTCACTCATTAGCAGTGAATAACAGTTACTTTTGATTGATGGAATAATGATATTTGAAAGCGGTCCAAATGAACTGCTAGAGAGATCAAGAAGAAATAATCGGGTCTTTGTGTGATAAGAAATGTATTTCACCGCGAATGAATCATCGACTCTGTCTAGTGTTTGGGATGTGGTTACGATAATGTGGATTTGTTTCATCGGTCGTTGGATTTTTTTGCTTCAAAAT